TTAAGGATCCTGGATTGTACGATATATATATATGTATTCGGCCTTCGGAAAAATTAATAATTAAAAAAATAGGTAGTCACTGTATAATGAGATACGGTAGTAGACGGTAGACGCTCTAAGATGATTCGTTTTCGTTTGTTTCGAAAAAAAAAAGAAAAAAACATTTTGTCATTCGTGAAACATAGTCGAAATCAAAAAGAACGGTTATCGAACCGTTTCGTTGGATTTATCGAAGAGCGTCTACGCGGGTACCGCCGTTTTTAAAAAACGAGGTTTTAAACAGTGTGATATTGCCGGTGCGCAATAACTAGAGCAAAAAACACGAACGACAAGTTTACGGCTACTAAATAAAGGTTCACGCATGTGGGCACGCACAACATCATTTATAATATACCTTATAGCGTATCACGTTGTATATCCGTGTTTTTTTCGGATGAAATGGATTTGGGGAGAACGGAGGAGAGGTCTCTTCGAGATCGAATAATCGTTGCCGCGAATTAGAATGGAATCGAATGGCCATCTTTTTTTTTTTCTCTTTTTTTTCTTTTTTCTTTTTTTTTTTTTTCTCTCTCTCAAAAATCAAAATAACGAGACGAAGAAAATTTCGTTGGAGAGAAATATTGGTGAATCGTGATATGGAGGCGTAACCGATCGATTACCTAATTACCCGTCGAAAATTTCGAAATTTCCAAGAAATTCTACTATACTACTGTTCTACTATTATCGAGGCCAGAGAGTACAAAGTGCTCGAGATCGATTTTTCCCGCGGAAATACACGGACAATTTTGATATATATATATATATATATACGGCGGTCGTGCATCGGGCGAGGAAGATTGGACGGTATACAAAAAAAGGATGGGAGACTCGTGAAGGAATTCGTGGGTCAAACACTAGCGAGCGGCAAAATGAACTTTGCGGCGAGCTGTGCTGGCTGAATCAGCGGTGATGGCGTGATGAGAGAGGAAAATTCGTTTCTTTTCTTTCTTTTTTCTCTTAGAGAGGTTCTCCTTCTGCCGATTTGCGGAGAAGAAGAATAGAGATACTGGAAGGAAGCTAGCTATCTCCTGGAAGTCGAAGTTACCTTCAGCGGCCGCCACCGGTGCCTCCTACTTCCAGAAGATGGCACTGGTGCTCCCGTCGTCCATCATGCACTCTGGAATACAGAACAGAAAACAAAGAAATGCCATTGGGCCCAATGTAATAAACACCAACAAATCGTTGTCGTCGTTGCCTATATGTATCCCCTCGCGATACCATCTATCCGCTCTTTCTCTCTACAAATTCTTGCATATCTCTTTCCAAACTCGAAAAATCCTAATTATAAACACGATCTTCGATACTATTTTCGTTATAAAAGAAAACAAAAAAAAAAAAAAAGGACACACAATTCGTTAAAAATCGAAATTTCAACGCGCGATATATATTTCCAATCCTTAATTGCTATCATTCCGCGAAACGTAATATTAATTAGTAGATATATCACTGGAATGTAAAAAATACAGGTTAGTTCCTCCTTACTTATCCTTTATATTGTGTTCGACAAAAAGTATCAATCTCGTCGATCAAATATTTAAGTTACTTGATCGAGAGAGAGAGAGATTTGAATCTGAGTTTCAATCTTAAAATTTTCCATCGCCTTTTCGATTCACAGCGCGTTCCCGCGCGTGAATGAACTTAATGACGCGTTCTCGACGCGAGGTTACGGAGAAATGCAAAATTGGCGAACCGAGTTAAAGGTCGTCGTCGCCGTCGTCGTCGTCGCGGCTTGCTAGACGCGAGGCTCATTCCAGGCTGGCTGTGGGTTGACTCGCGCCTTCGAGCCAGGCTCCGGGGCACATTTAAGGATTTGTCTCGGGAAATTAGATTCTCGCCTGACTTGCAGCCTCGTTGCATCCCGTTTCTCCACGGATTCTTACCCCGCTCCTTCGAATTTCCCCTCCTTAGCCCCGAGTACTTTTCATCGAGCGTTTGTTCCGCGAGGGGGCGAGGGGCTGGCACCGTGGGGACACGGGGAGAATTGGACCTTTGTCGAGCTAAGTGTTAACGTGCTCGCGCGGCTTCCCTTCAGCCTCGGCTATAAGGCCTTAGCCGAGAAATCGAAGAAGGAATTAACCCTCGGGAAATTATCTTCTCGCTGGACTTTGGGAGAACAAAGCGAACATACTGTTTGACACCGTGCTTCCTTTTATCGCTCTCCTCGCCTCGCTAATACGATGATCCTTTCCTTTTTCTCTCTCTCTCTCTCTCTCTCTCTCTCTTTCTCTCTTTCTTCCACTCCTCTCGATCTTTCTTCGTTTAGATTGGTTTTCTTAACCCGCTATTATCGCGTTGATTCGATTAAGAAGAAGAAGAAGATTATATCGTGTAAAAAAAATTGGAGATGGAGCAAGGTGTTCTCTGTTATTTTAGAGGGTAATTCAAGTTTTTCATCGAAGGGATTGATTGAAATTGTTTTTTTTTCACGTTAACGATTAACAATTCTTTCTTTGATTCTTTGATCGAAATAAGGGGAAGAATGTACGATAATTTTGTTCGAAAAGAACTTTCGTTTGAATTAAATTTCGCGTGATGTTTTTTTTTATATTTGAAAAATTTTTCTTCCACTCTTCAGGTATTTTTACTCGACAGCAGGAAGAACGCTCGATGACACTGTATTTTTATGATAATACCCAATCAAGCTTAAACTGTAATTTTTATCTATATAATCGATCGGTTCTCCGATATTTTAAAACTTTTATTTTTCCAAAGGTCCTCGAAAAATTATGCATGAAACGATCCGAGAGTTAACGCGCGCAAACTTCGAAGCGAGCAATTTTTATTCAGGCGTGACCTAATCCCTGTGTCAATACACTTATTTTTAATATTATAATTTCAAAACTCTCTTCGTTACGTAATTCAACACGTGCTCGCGTGTAAAATTACATTACGAGCATTCCAAAAATATCGCTTCGCTTCTAAAAATCAATCAAAATATTTAAATTTACCCCACTTAAACAATGAATTCTTCGTTGTTCACGAACGAAATCGTGGCAAAAATATCGATTAAAAAGAAGAAAAAATTTTTCGAAATAATAAATCCTCTCCCTTCCTTAAATGCGCCATAATTGCTGACCCATACGTAACTTCCCCTACCTATTTACACCATCGTTCGAATCGAAGCCCAGAGAAGCGCGTCGTCCTCTCATAATCCTCGAGGATTTCTTGCCACTCGGACCGAGCCGCGCCTGCGTCACGTCGGCCGGCTCAAAGTTGGCAGCAATGAAGGGAAGCTTTCGAGAGTCCCGATATCCCGGGATACGTTTATCTGCTGGAACATGGTAGGGCGAGCGAGCGATGGCGGTAGGAAGCAAGTCGGATCGCCAAGGGATCGAAACTTATCTACTTGCTCAACTAGCTGCTCCGGCCACCACCACCCACCCTTATCCACTCGCGGGGAACTTGGTCTATACCCTTCAACTCGGCCAACTTCGAGATACGCATTTCTCAAATCTGTTTCCGTCTTTGTACGCTTAATTCCGCCCATCACCGTCGATACTTGAATCGTTGGGCGATATTCTCTCGAATTTTCTCTTTGAAAATACTTGAAATATTCGATGAATAATTTAAATTTTAATTAACGCGTCGTTCACTCCTTGTTTCTTTCTTCGATTAACGAAACACACGTCCACGACAGGGATATAAATAAATAATAATACAGAAAAATGCTCGTTAAATATAATTGGACAAGCATCCTTTAGATTACTATACGATCTTACAAAGGAATCTATAATATAGATTAAAGCCATCGTTTCACGATTCTCTCTAATATCACAGAAAAAAAAATAAAAGGAAAGAAATCAAGATCCTTTCAACATTTTCGGTAACAAGGCATTTATCCTTCCAACGCCTTCTTCAATTATCCCTATACGACAAAAGACAACACCGATGAAACGAGCGAGTTAACACGATCCGCAACATCCTGGATAGAAAGCGAGTCGAAAGTTGATACGCGAAAGGATACCACGTTCCTTCCTTCCTTCCTTCCTTCCTTCCTTCCTTCCTTCCTTCCTTGCCGGTCGACGAAGACGGATCGTTGACAAAGTTCGGTAACACCGTGATTGAAGTCTTGCAACTACGTGGATACGCGTTGGTTATACCAGCCGGTGGTAAGTAAGACGGTGGAAGCAGAAGCAGTGACAGCGTTGAGCTCTGGATCACTCCTCCTGCATCCGCGTCAAGCCGGGGCTTTGTGGGGCCACACCGACCGGAGATTACAATGGCATCTACGCCAGATTAGCATATGAATTACGGGGGCCCCTTCATCTACCCCCCGATATCCTTTCCCATTCCCTTATCCCTCTTTCTTCGTCTTCTCGATATACTTTGCCCCTCCCAAACGTTGCTCCCTCCCTCCCTCCCTCCCCCTTTGCGCGATTTACCTCGTGCGCGTTCCCCCTATTCAGGCCCGTTTGAGCGTACAGC